GCATCAAGAACAACACACAGGAAGAAAGAAAAGGTCATTAAGAAGACAAGAAAGAATAAAAAGACTAAAATGGATGTCAGAAGAGACTCTGAAACTTGCTCTCCAGTGTAGAGATGGGAAAGCAAATGGAAGAAATGATGAGATAAAGAGGTGAATAGAATATTTCAAAAGACAGCTTGAGAAGACAAAGTCAAATATTAGAACGAAGTGTGCAAAGATGTGGCATTAGAAAACCAAAAGGGAAGAACATGCTCAGCATTCCTCAAACTGAGGGAACTGAAAAAAGAGTTCAATCCTTGACTTGCAATATTGAAGGATTCTATGGGCTAAATATTGAATTATGCAGAAAGCATCAAAAGAAGATGGAAGGAATATACAGAATCACTGTACCAGAAAGAGATGTTCAACCATTTAAAGAGGTAGCATATGAACATGAGCCTATGATACTGAAATAAGTCCAATGTGCATTGAAGTCATTGGCAAAGAACAAGACTCTGGGTATTGATGGATTATAAATGGAAATCTTTCAACAAACTGATGCAACACTATAGGCACTTACTCATATGAAGAACTTATTCATGTGAAGAAATTTGGAAGACAGCTATCTGGCCGACTGACTAGAAGAGATTCATATTTGTGTCCTTTCCAAAAAGAGGTAACCCAATGGAATGTGGAGATCATTGTAAAATATCATTAATATTTTGCTAATGATAATTTTAAAAAGGTTGCAACCATACATTGACAGAGAATTTCCAGAGATTCAAGCTACATTCAAAATAAGATGTGGAAAAAGGGATATCATTGCTGATGTCAGCTGGATCTGTTTGAAAACAGAGAATGCCAGAAAGATGTTTACCTGTGCATTATTGACTACATAAAGGTTTTTGATTGTGTGGATCATGACAAGCTATGGATAACAGTGCTAAGTATGAGTATTCAGGAACATTTCATTGTGCTCATGAAGAACCTGTATATAGCTAAAGAGAGAGTTGTTCGAATAGAACAAAAGAACAATGACTGTTTTAAAATTAGGAAAGGTGTGTGCCAGGGTTGTATTTTTTCACAATAGTAACACAATTTGTAGGCTGGGCAAATAATCCAAGAAACTGGATTATATGAAGAAAAATGTGGCATTAGGATTGGAGGAAGATACATTAACAGCCCACAATATGCAGATGATCCAACCATGCTTGCTGAAATCAGAGGATTTAAAATACTTGCTGTTGAAGATCAAATACCACAGCCTTCTGTATAAAGAAAACATAAAGAAAAGAAAAATCCTCACCACTGGACATATAAATAACATCCATATAAATGGAGAAAAGATTGAAGTCCTCAAAGACTTCATTTGCTCAGATCAACCATCAATGCTCATGAAAGCAGCAGTCAAGACATCAAAAGACTTATTTCATTGAGCATTTCTGCTGCACAAAACCCTCTTTAAAATGTTGAAGAGCAAAGTCAGCTTGAGGACTAAGGGTTACTGATCTAAGCCACGGTATTTTCAATAATCTCATATGCATGTGAAAGTTGAACAATGAATAAGGAAGATTGTAGAAGAATATGTGCTATGGTGTTGTAGGAGAATATTAGAAGTACCATGGACTGCCAAAGGAACAAACAGATCTGTATTGGAAGAAGTACAGTTAAAGTGTTCCTTGGAAGCCAGTATGGCCAGACTTTGTCCTCCATACTTTGGACATATTGTCAGGAGGGAGCATTCCTTGGAGAAGGATATCATGTTTGGCAAAATGGAGGGTTGGAGTAAAAGACAAAGGCCCCCAACGAGATGGATTGTTATAGTTGCAACATCGATGAGCACAAATGCATCAATTGTGAGGTGGGTGCAGGGAAGGGCAGTGTTTTCTTCTGTTGTACATAGGGTCGCTGTGAGTTCATACTGACTTGATGACACCTAACAACAACAATAGTGTATCTGTGTTATGTTCAAATGCCTGCCTCTTGGTTTACCTACAGGTTCCTTATGAGCATAATTATATGTTCTCAATTTTCTACTCTTCTTAGTATCCACACTTAAACATCTTTCTGGTATGCTCTGATTTCAGCCAAGATCTCTCTCACTTCCACAAATGATATCACTCATTCCGTGTCCTCTTCTGAATTCAGTTCACATTTTTCACAGCTCCGTGCTGATGTACTGTTGCAAATGTTTTTGAGTTATCTCACAAAAGTTTACTTACAAAATTAATGATATTTTTCAATGATCTCTTTGGGCTATCTTGCTTTGGAATGGGCACAAAATCAGATGGGCAGGTAGCTGTCTTCCAGATTTCTTGGTACAGGTGAGTGAACACTTCCAATAGTTCTTCAGTTTGTGGATATATTTCAATTACTGTCCTGTCAATACCTGAAGTATATATATATATATATATATATATTCCAATACTTTCACTGTAGCTTGGACTTCTTCCTTCAAGAGCATCAGTTCTTGATCACATAGTACCTCTTGAAATGGCTGAAGATTGCCCAATTCATTTTGGTATAATGACTGTATTTCTTTTAACTTCTTTCGATGGTATTTGCATCATTTAATATTTTGCTCATAGAATCATTCAGTATTGAAAGTTGAGGGTTGATTTTTTTTTTTTTCCTCCAGTTTTTTCAGGTTGAAAATACTGAGCATGGCTCTCTCACCTTCCCATAGATTTACTAAAAACTACTGAATCTCAGCAATTATTTATCAAACGATTATTGGTACAGTAACAATAGTCAGTTATGAGTTGAAACTGACTTGAGGGCACTTAACACAACAATAGCAACAAACAATAGTCAGGGTGTGGCATTGTAAAGTAAGCACTCAACCACAAGGTCAGTTTGAACTGCAAGGTTCAAAGCCACCTGTCATTCCTTGGAAATGTTATACAGGCTTGAAATGAATGTAAGCTGACTTGGTGGCATTTAGTAACAATAGTCAGGAGGATATTTATTGGTCCTACAAACTAAAAAAGGAAGACTGGTAATTGTTCTCTTTCTAAATGTGTTTTCTGAGAAGGATTTTTTGTTGTTTTTAGGTACCATCGAGTCGGTACTGACCCATAGCAACCTTATTCACAGCAGAACAAAACACTGCCTGATCCTGGGCAAACCTTACAACTGTTGCCACGCTTGAGTCCATCAATGCCAGGAAAATTCCCTAATTTTTTGCATAAGCCTTTCTGTATACTAATCTAGTTTTCTTAATGTCAAGTGTCTCACTCTGGGCTTTTTGGTATTTATCACAGCCACTGCCCTTTCCCTAGACTTTCCTCAGAATTGCAGCATTGCTGATTCAATGGTCAGAAATGTTGGGGAGGAAACATGAAGAACTCAAGATGGCATCTGAATTTATGTCAAGGATCAAAATGAAATTAGTTTCCCTTGTAGGCCAAACCTCTCCCCAAATCATCTGCGTCTAGATTTTAGGTTCTAATGCAAAATTTACACTATCAGATATAAAGGCTTATTACTAAGTTCTGTTCCACTAGAAAATTAATAGCCAGCATGTTTCTTGGTGATATTTTTTGTCAATCACAAAATAATGTTGATTTGTCTTCTATCCATCGTCTCTCAGTTTGTCATACTGTGGTTGCTTGTGAAGCATATGGAGTTACTTTTATAAAGGATTTTTGCTAACAAAAATCAATATGTTTTAACATCTTGGATGCCAAATAAGTGATTTATTAGCTACATCAATTATATAAAAATGTTGTTGTTGTTGTTGTGAAGTGCCATTGAGTTGGTTCCAACCCATAGTGACCTTGTATAGGGTTTCTGAGAAGCAGCTGGTGAGCTTGAACTGCTGACCTTGCAGTTCAAATGGCTTTGCAGTCTGGTGCATTAACCCACAGCACCACACCAGGACTCCTATATAAAAATAAGTAACATCAATTATAGATTTTAATGGACAACAATATGTATTAATATGGTGAATGAAAATTTTCCTAGTTTTCAGAATTGGTGAATGTAGTCATAGATGAAAGAGGTGTTATTAGTTGTCATTGAATACATTCCAATTCATGGCAACCTCATAAATTTCTTAGGGCTGTGACATTTCTGAAACAGATCACCATGTCTGCCTTCCAAGGACTCTGTGAAGGTTTAAACCAATGACCTGCTGGCTACAGTCAAGCGCTTAACCATATTGCACCACCCAACAATTCCTGAATAAAGCGTTGTTGTTATTATTGACATTGAGTCAATTCCAACTTATGGTGCCTCAGTGCACGCAGAATAGACTGCTACTTAGCTAGCATATTCAAGAATCTGCACTTCCACAAGCATATCTCTTGGTCTTGTTCCTAAGGAACTTTTGAATGGGTTTGAACTGCCAATATTTTAGATAGTAATGGAGATCTTAATCGTCTGTACTATGCAGGATTCCTTAAAAGACACATTATCATTCTAAAGTCAGCTGGCAAAATAGAGGCCATCCATTTCCCTTAGGTTAATAAAGGTAGAGCAGCTTCTGCTATTATTAACATTATTCCAACCCCATCTCTTTGTGCTCTATGTAAGAAGACTGCAAAAGGAATAAAGTGTAGAAGACATTTACCATTAATTAGCCATATAGGGAAGACACAGTTATTTGAAATAAATATAACTTCTTATTCCAAGTCATATCTGTCATGTTCATGTGTTTGTGCTTATTTAAAGTTTTTTATCCACTATATTGAGATGTTTCTAAATATACTATCTTTTAGCAAATGGCTATGGAGAGGAGTTTATCTAGAACACAGGAAAAATATTGTACTATTTTTAAAATATTAAATATTTTAAAGTAAAAAAAATATAGCACTATTTTTAAATATTAAAAACTATAAACTTGGAGTTCTAAAAAGTCAAGTGCTTGATATAAGGTCTAAAACATAAGTTATGATGTTGTTTCTAGTGCATGCATCACATTATATATGCTAAGATAAATACTTTTTCTACCAGGGAAAATACATTGTTTATGCTTTTGCACAGTTATGATAATATATTTTCCTCAGTTAATCACGTACCTGTACACTTTGTACTGTATACAGCCTATCTCTTGCTTCAATATACTTTTCAGCATATAAAGAAACACTTGCATTCTTATGTTTGACTTGATAAATAACATGTTCAAAACCAATGGCAGACTCCAGGGGTTCAATTCCATAGCTGATATTTTCAAACTGCAGTAAGCCCCTATAAATTCCAAAATGTAAGTCAATAAATAAAATATCATATTTTTAAAATAAGTGAAAAGTCACAGTTTTTGTGCCTTTTAAAAAATGATATGTGAATCATTTTCAGACTGTTATAGGAAGTAAGGTATAAAACATTTACAGAATATCCAAAATATTACAGAGTAGAATATAAGACTAATGCTGTTGATTTTACTATAGACATTAATATTTCATGGTTTCTAGTTGCATTAAAAATCTTAGCACAGAATTAGGAGACAGGGTCTTGTATTGCTACAAGAATTTCCATATTATGATTTTCCAATGAAAAAAATTTCCCACAATATTCACGACTCATTTAGAAGCCCTGAATCTTATTTTTTAAATGTAAAAAATTCTTTCCAAGTAAATATTGCATTTTGTGGTCCATAAAATTATGTATCACAACCTGAGTCCAGTGCATGTGCTAATGATCGCCACAGATTTTGGAAAACCTTCAATAAATCCTTGGTAATAGCAGAGATTCTGAAAAATAAAGAAAAGGTACATATAGCCTTATCAAAATCATTAATATTAAAGATATAATTTTCAATTATTTAATACATATATGCTTGCTGGTATATACGTGTCAAATGCTTATGTTTCTAAAATTGGTTAACAAGAATATTGGAAGAACATTTGTCTCAATTCTCCAAAGTTTTTGTTATAATTTCAAAAAAGTTTTCTTATTTTATAAGTTCAAAATGAAACTGAGTCATGAAATTAAGGCAAAGAAAATTTAAAACATTTTTTTCACATTCTGACTTTATTTTGCAAGGTTGTTGTTGTTGTTAAGTTCAGTAGAGTTGTGCAGTTGAGTCAATTCTAATGCACATGGACCCTCTATAGGGTTTCTGTGGGGCTGCTATTGGGATTGAATTGCCAACTTTGTGACTAGGAGTCCAGTGCTTATCCTACAGTGCCACACCAGGACTTCAATTTTGCAAAGATTCATATAGGTAGAAAGCAAAAAAACATTAAGAAGACAACAAAGAAAGAAAAGGTCAAAATGGATGTCTGAAGAGACACTAAAACTTGCTCTCCAGTGTAGAGATGCTACAGGAAATGGAAGAAATGAGGAGGTCCAAGAGCTGAATAGAAAATTTCAAAGATCAGCTTGAGAAGATAAATCCAAATATTAAAACAAAATGTGCAAAGATCTGGAATCAGAAAACCAAAAGGAAGAACATGCTCAGCATTTCTCAAGCTGGGGGAACTGAAGAAAAAAATTCAAGTCTCAGAGGACTTGAGAGGAGAGTGGAGCTACCGGCTGATGGGAAGAGAGGGCATGTGCACAGGAGCGCCAACACTTGCAGATGATACCCACGTGACTTGGACCGGATGACTGGATGATCAGAGCTCAACCAGGAGAAGAAAGAAGAGGGGAAAACAAAACAAAAAAAAGAGTGAGTTGATACAATCTGATGAACTTGACCTATATCTATGGATGCAGTGACTCAAAAGAAGGAACAAATCCTTACAGCAAGAATCATTGTCACCCCCTCCACACACAGAGTGGATGGATATGGGCAACTTGGACATTGGATACTCAAATGGGGAGGGGAGGACTACAAAGGCAAGAAGTGACTGGCTTACAAGCTTTCAAGAGGGAAACCTAGTGCTAGGAAGCATGGAGGAAGGCAGAATCTCCAGTGGGTACTATTCAATCTGTCTGGGCGGAGCTGATGAAAGGAAATACAGACGGGTAACTCGTGATACTGTAGTGAATAATGCTTATCAGGATGGATTATGAGGGTTGGAAATGCAAAGGTAGACGTTTTGTAAGAAGGAAGGGAGTGATTAATTCTACAGGCTAGGAGCGGAGGTCTCTGGGACCATCAACGGAGAAGAGCTGAGAGTGGGACCCTACCCAGAGAAACAGAGATG